TGGAAATATATGGAAATGCAACTCATTACTTTAGTCTGCCACAGAAACACTATCATTGAGTTATACATATTTTAATGCTATGCTCTAAAATGTAATCAAAAATTGATTTAATAAATCCCCAGCCATATGAAGAGCTTCTTAGCATATTTTATAAAAATCACTGTTGAAGATTTCCCTTCTATGTTTTCCGGCGATGACATAAAAAGATCTATGCTAAATATTTCTTTTAGAATTCAGCACTAAAGAAACTGTTTTTGGCCTCTGAACTGATTATTTATCAGACAATGGAAATCTAAGTTTCATTGTAGCAGAGACTTAGGTTGATGTGCTCCCTTTTGCAAAGCCCAGGGCAGTGGAATGCATATAGCAGGACTCTAAGTATTTTCTGAATGAATTGATTGAACTATAATTTTTCTTTTTATATTGGTTACAAGGAAGCTTAGAGATAAATGCAGTAACAGTAACAGTCTATGTTTTTGATATATTTATTTTTCCTCAACGGTTCTATTTTTGTTTTCAGTTTCTCTTTAAATAACCTTATTAAATATATTTTAGTTATAAGCCACTGAAAATCATTTTGGAAATTGGGACAGAATGTCATAAAAATATATTTTATTTTCTAGGTGATAGAAGACAAAATGGTTAACTTCATGGGTTTTTGTTTTTTTCATCTAACAACTTATGAAATTAAGTACATCTGCATTGGAAAAACATGTAGCCATGTTTCTGAAGCTTGACCAGAATCTTAGAAGAACAATACAATCAGAGAGTACGCATACCTGATGAAGAAAAACAAGATAGTTGAACTTCACTTTTTTCTTTTTATTTCCAAGACATGTGGGATATATATTTTTTTAAAGAAAATGTTGCAAATTTTAAAAGGTGTAAAGCATCTGCTATTTTAAAACTTCCACAAGGAAAGTTTAATATTAACAGTGAAAAATCTCTAAAAGCCCGAGATTTGTGGTTTTATAAAATTGTGCTCTCTGCACCTTTCTATAAGTGAAGAAAGAGCAAGACTTACATCTAAGTCCAAATCTTAGAATGATGAAGGTGAGGATAACCTTAAGTGGCCTGTTGAGCTTATCAGACAGGGATACTGTCACTCTGCCTTGAAACAGAGATCCAAACATCTTGATTTAGGACTCACTATGCCTGGGGTCTCAATGAAAGAGCGAGGGCAGAACAGAGACCCAAGTCAGGCACAACCAGAAAGTCACGCTGGCAGGGCAAATTCTTTGTTTTCCTGGTGTCCAGGGCAGTTGTGTGCCTGTGAGGACCATGCAATTCACAGCTCTGCTTCATGTTGTCAGATTACTCTGCCACATGTAGTCTTGTTGGAGGCATGGCTCCCTTAGTTGGCATTTCTTGTTTTGTAAATCAACCTCTGTGGGCCCTTACTGGAGTCTCTTTCTTTTAAATAATATTAAAAATAAGAGTATATTGAAGATTTACGCTTTCTTTAAAGCACAGTTCCATTTTTGTAAGCGGAAATGTGTGTTCTTGTATTACTAACTATAAAGAAGGCTCAAAGGAAAAAAAAAAGTGTGTGTTGGGGGTCGGAGCGGAGGGGGGCTTCGCTAAAGGTTTTTAACCTCTAGTGTTAATGACGTAAGGAAAAAAATGAGAGTGTGTTCATAGGATCAGTACTTCCCTCTGGTGGGTGAGTTCATGAATGTCTAACAAGGGAAGTGACTGACTTCCAATTAGCTGAGAGCACACAGCAAACTCCTAGGACTATGAGTCACACAGTTCCTGTTTGCCCTCCTTGGGGAGCTTTGAGTATGTGAAACAGAAATTAAGAGGACATGACATACTGAGTCTCCAGGGGGTTCCTTTTATTTTTTCCAACGTTTGTGTTCTAAAATACAGGAAAATGCAAATACTTTTTTCAGGAAGCTTGGAAATGTTGAGGAACATAACTATTATTTAAATTATGTCTAAAGAAGGGTATGTACATTGTATTTTAATAAGATCTTCAATGAAAAATTAGACATCTAAATTAAATTCAAGGGGCATTATAAAGTATGCAAACAGTGTTTAATTAGGTTTTGCAAGCTTCAATTGACATCTTAGTTCCTGTCTTACATTTGAATTTCAACAAACATGCATTTTTAAACTTTACTTTTACCTTAAAAGTTTTTCTTTGGGATTAACTAGATAAATCTGATGTCAAACTAGAAGACCTTGAGCAATGCTGAGTGTCTAAATGGTTTTCATTTGCATGTATTTAAAAACAAATTCTGTTTTCTTCCTACATTCAATAATGTGGTAAAATAGAAAATAATATCAATTAAAAGCATTGATACTGAATATCAGATATTATCTGTTTGAAACCAAACTCAAATACAAATTTTTTTTGGAGTAAAAATATAATCCTCCCCCCTCAAAACTCTTTGAAAATGGACAGACTGATATGTAATATGGATGACTTTGCGAGAGTGGTTAACTCAATTATAATATTTACTGATACAATTTTATAAATGTACATATATTTGCATATTGACACAAATCAACTTGAAGAGTTATTTGTTTCAGGGATACAATTCTCAGGGAGAGGTTTGATTTTCCTGTGAATGATGGATGGGTTCAGTGGTGAAAATATTCAGAGAACGTTAAAGTTTTGAAGACTTTTTTCCAAATGAATTAGTTTGCAAAACAGATATAAAGGTATTTTGTGCACAGTACATAAGCTATTCCTTGAATGAAAGAGATCCTTGCAAAATCTAGAAATATTTTAGGCTACAGCAAAATTAAATGCGCCAAGTAGTGGCTTATAATACTGTCAAGATGTAGTTATTGTTTATAATAAAAATATAGAATTTAAGTTTGATTTCATTTAAAATATAAAATATGTACTATTAGCTTGAAACTTCATTTTCTAATATTTTTTATTACTTTTAATATTTTCCTGTGAATCTGCATATTCTAAAGTGCATTCTTGGGAACACTAGTACTGTAAAACTAGCCACAAAAATGTATTATTTATCAAATAAGTTTGATAAAAGCTATGCATTATAAAGATGTGTTCATAATTATTTTAGGTGTGATAACGACATAGTAATATTGTTAAAAAAGGGTTGATCTTTTAGAGATGCAAGTTGAAGTATTTGTGAATAAAATAATGCAATTTCTGGCATTTCCACATATTTTGAAGGTGGGAAAAGAGGATATGGGTGGGAATAAGGCTAGGTTAGCCAAGGGTTGATGTTACTGAGTTTGCGTGATGAGTACATGTGGGTTCGTTATATTATCCCACCTGTGTGATTTGTGTTCATTAGAAAGTCTCATTACACTATTATTGACTATATTCCCTATGCTGTACTTTGTATTCCTGTGACTGTTTTTATAATGGCAATTTGTACATCATAAACCCTTCCCCGTTTTCACCCAGCCTCTCAAATCTCTCCCATCTAGGAACCATCAAAATGTTCTCTGTATCTGTGAGTTTGTTTCCATTTTGTGCATCCATTTATTTTAGTACTAGGTTTATTGGGGTAAACACTTTATAAGCTATTTGAATGTCTAATTACTATGCTGTACACCTGGAATTAATATAATATTGTGTGTCAACTGTAATTGAAAAAAATTTAAAAATTAAAAACATAAAAAAATAAAAATTGTGATTTAATTCTAAAAAAAATAAATTCTCCATAACAAAATGTAAAAAATAAATAAATAAATAAATAAATAATGCATATCTCAAAAAATTTTATAGTACACACAACACCTGAGAGGAGTCCTAGGTAAAAAATTCATCTATTTATCTGGGCTCTTCCCAAATATATTGACCACAAACTATTTTTTTCAAGGAACACCTATTAATATCTCTCCTGGACACTCTGGGAACAGCTATACCATAATAGAACTAGTGTTTTCCATGTATCATTGCCCATGATAATCCCAGGCTTCTAGCACATGAAAAGTTTTATTTACATGTTGGAAAACATTAAGGTAAAAATGGAAAGTGTAAAAAAGGAATCCTGTTATTATTTCCAAATTCTAAGAGGTTTGAGGTATCTGTAAGTAAAACATCTGACTAATTTTTTTCCAATTTCATCAAGGCTTACTTTTTATATAAATACAACATCAAAAATATTGTTAAAGGAAATGCAATTTTAAAAGGAATGAATAGTAGTACATATTATAAAGCATAAGCAACTTTTTTTGATTGCATGTTAGCCAAAAATCAAGTTACAAATGCTACTTAGTAGCTAAATAGAAAACTGTTAAAAAACCCCAAAAACCCTTATATATTATTATCAACTTCAATGGTTTTATTTATACATTTTTATTCTAAATTTTGTATAAAAATAAAGAATCTGTTTAAATGCCATTTGCATAGGCATAAATTATTTCACATCCTATGAAAATTATATTACATAGAAATATTCCTCAAAATAATATTCAATAATTGCTAAATAAGATTTACATTTTTACATAAAATGCTTTATAATTTTGCATGTGTCAGAAGTTACATTTCAGTTTCTAATTAAAGAAATTTATTATTTAAAAAAAATTATATGTCCCTTTTTAACTTTCCATTTAAATACAGACAGCTTGTATTACTATTTATAGCTGTCCCTTCTTTCCAGCTTCTTTTAGAGACTAGCAAACATTTTTATTGTTGACTTTTATGAAAATTCAAACAAGAAAATTTACATTTATTACAATATACTGCCAAAAATTGCTTTAATTTCCACGGATGCCCATTAATCTGATAAATGTTTTGTCATTTGTACCAACCACACTGTCAAAACAAGTTAATTATACCTTACTGACATTTTTGACAATTGCTTTAACTCTGGCAAAGAAAAAAAAAGTGTCTTATTTCCTTCAAAAAAAATCATCTCTGCCTATTGAAAGTCTTAGCTGAGCAAGAGAAGACCAGCACATAACAGAAGTCTTGCAAGGTTCAACTTAGGATCAATGGTAAATGATGAATCTTTAGGACTATTTTATAGAAGTGCTCATATTTTGTAATAGAAAATATGATGTACCTGCATAATCTGTTCTTGCGTAATGCCCATCTTCAGATTTTGTAGTCGTAGTTGTGTTATCTGTGTTAAAAATTAATAAAGATTAACTATTTCTTAATATCTAATGTCAAAATTATATTACCCCTCCAATAGTATCTTCATTCCAATTAAGGAATTTTTACAATATAGTTCTAAGCAACCTTTATGCAAAGACAGATTTACAATGTCAATTGCAACTTGAGAGTGAATAATAGAATGATACCCGTTTTCTAAAGTTTAGGGCAAAGAGAATGTCTACAATTATAACTAAGATACGCTGGGCAAAAAAATAACAAGTTAAAGACCAAGAAAATGTTTCTGTACAAGAAACAAAATAGACAATTCTGGTACATCCTGCTTTTAAAAAATGTACTTAAAATATTTCTACTGATTTAATATATAAAATGGTATGCTTTACTTTTAATTTCAAGATTGTGTAATAAATCCTTACAGTCCTTGCTAAAATGATTTTGACCTTTTTTTCCTCTGCAAGGAGAATGTCTTCCTATCTTCTGAATATTGGCTTGTGTTTATGGCATTGTGAAGATGCAGTCCCATTATATAGAAAAAGCTTTGGACTATTGCCAGTAGGCCCTCAAATTCCTTTAATCCACACAAATGCTACAGTAGACTCTACTAGCCTTTATAAATCAGAACTGCCTTTCGGAAATGAAATAGCTGCCAAATAAGAAGTTATCTTCACTTTTCTCTTCTACACAAAGACTAAAAACATTCTTTGAAATGAATTTTGGTATGAACATTACCTTGACATCGGCCCAATGACATGACTTCAATTTTCTCCTGTTTCTGACATGATGCTTCTTTGATTTGACATGCATTATCATATGATTTCCCATCAGAAGCACAGAGGGGGTTGAAGTTGGTTTGAGAACAGTCAATGTTGCACACACACCTAAAGGAAGAGAGAAATAAAAATATGTCACATCAATAGTGTCGTTACCACATTATAAATAAAACACAAAGTGGAAGAAATGCTGGGTAGGCAAAGTACAAGTTGGCAAAACTGAATTGTTTCCTTCCAGGGAAGTTCCTTCAGTGTTCTACTTGAGATGAAAAGAAACACTGAATAGAAAATAATTCAAAAGACTGAGCAGCGGATAAAAAGTAAAAAGAGAAAACTCGGAAAATAATCATCAGTTAATCTCTGCCACTGGAACTTTTAAAACACATACATAAACTTCCATGCTGATGCCTGCAGAATTTGAATCTGCTGGAGTAGCCATGAAACTCTGCTTTACAATTTCCTTAAATGAAATCTTACAGTGTTAGTTCTTTTCTCAGGAAATTTGAATGGTGAAAGCTTGTGGAAAATGATTCAGAGGATATTTAACAGAAAGTAAATAAGGAGACTATTTGGAATGTAATCAGAAGTTCAATTTCTTCAGCATACATGCAGATGCTCATAAAATGTGTGAAACAAGAATCTTCAGTGGTCCTTAACATTTGGGGAGGTGGGCATCAAGTCCTTTGAGAATCAAATGAAAGGTATGGACCACTCCTCAGGAATGCCCATACTCAAACAAACAACTCTGCATATAATTTCAGAGCTTCCGTGAGCCCCTTGAAGCCTATCTCATGGCCCTTTCCCAGATATACTACTCGTTTTCTATTTTCAGTTTTAAATAATAAGTTGATTATCACTCGTGATTTTAATGTTTTTTTTTTAAGATTTTATTGGGGAATTGGGGGAGGGGAGCAGCCAAGTTGTTGTCCTTCAGTCTCAGGTGTGGAGGGTGCAGCTAGCTCAGCTCCAAGTTCAGTCACCATCAGGCCGCCCGTTGACAGCTTGCGGCAGCTCAGCTCAAGGTGCCGTGTTCAATCTTAGTTATGGGTGGGTGTAGCCCACCATCCCATGTAGGGTCGAACTGGAAACCTTGTTGTTAGGAGCACATGCTCTCATCAGCTGAGCCACCTGACACCTGTTGGCAGCTCAGCGGCAGCTCAGCTTGGGCGTAGCTCACTGGCCCATGTGGGTGTTGAACCAGCGACCCTGTTGCTCAGAGCTCATGCTCTTACCAACTGAACCACTTGGCTGGCCCAATATGTTTCTTTTTTTTTAAGATTTTTATTGGGGAATTGGGGGAAGGGGAACAGACAAGTTGCTGTCCTTTTGTTCTTCAGTCTAGTTGTGGAGGACGTCGCTTCACTGGCCCAAGTTGGCACCATCATTGCGCTCTTCCCGGGCGAGGCAGATCAGTTGCCGGCTTCTGGACGGCCGCTCACGCTGGCTGCCGGCTACACACGGTAGCCCATGGCAACCCACTGCAGCAGGGGCTGCAGCCTACGCCGTCGCCGGCGACTCACAGCAGCCCAGCTCCAGGTTGAGCTGTTGTTCAGCATCTTAGCTGTAGAGGGCAGTGTCACTGGCCCTCATATGTGGGATCTGAACTGGGGCCCTCTGGTGTCCCAAGCCAGCTCTTAACCAACACGCCACTCGGCTGGCCCTCAATATGTTTCTTAATATAAATAAAAATTGGGTGAGCTAATGAGAATTAGGTCACCTGAATTACAAGAATTAGATAGTTCAAAGCAAACTTTTTTGTGAGTTTTTTTCTATGCTCTTATGTTATAATTATCTGTACTTTACAATCTACTTTGTTACTCAGAATGTTGTGTTGTTTTTTGCGTGTGCAAATATGTTACTGCCTTAGAATATAAACTCATATTTTCAATTTTTATTAGTAGTTATATTATTATTTTTCTAAATAGATCATATGATTCTCAAAGTGGTGAATCACGCATTTATTTCTATATATTTTCTTTAGAGCTGGGCATATACTATAATGATAACAATCATAACCAGCTTACTACATGGTGGGTTCTTAACATGCATGACTTTATTTAATCTTTACAACAGCCACTTTACAGGCCAATAATATTAAATAAGGTCAGAGAGCTAGTAAATTGTGGAACAAAGACCCCCATGGATGTGTTAAAGTAAAATACAATCCCTTTCCTCTTGCCATGGAATGTGTATTGGAATTTTCTGGCAAATTTTAAAATATACTGATTTATAAGCAGGTTTTGGGGCCCCAATCAATTTGGGGGCAAAGTTAGAATTCTGTATTCTCAAGTAGTCAGCCTGGCACCAGTCTTATTTCCTGGGAATCACTGCTTGATCAGTTTGTTGATTGAGTGAGAGAGGGTTTGTCTACACACCAGTGCTTCTCAGAGTGTAGTCCTTAGACCATCTGTGTCAGAATTACCTAGATCTCTGTTAAAAAGGCTGGCAAAAAAATGTGCTAATGCACTTCATTAAAAAAAATTTTTTTTTGTAAGAGAATTGCTTTAGGATCTCTTGGTTATTTTTACTTTCACCTATTTATGAACAAATAGCTCAGCTGGATGGTAACTATCTCTCAATACTTAAGTCATTGAGGAGTGGTACTCCTACTTTGGCCATGATGTTGCCACGTGACGACAGCTACTAGGATCACGACATTGCTACCTCGGCTGATTCTTGGCATCTGAAAAAAATCTGCGATCAGGAGCTTCGTACAAGTTCAAAGAGCTTTTAGTCCTTTTCACAGTGGATTTGGAGAAGTGACTTGGTAGATCATGCTTTTCTCTTGAACCGCTTGTAGTAAATAAAGAAGGGGAGAGGGCTGACATTTACCTTCAAGCCAGTTTAGGTTTTGACTGTTGTGTTAGACTCTGGGGAGTATCTCCTTGAAACACACTGAAATAATTATCTGCTAGCAGCAGAAGAACAGAGAGAAAGGTATATTCTCGACTCTATCAGTAAATTATGTAAGATATCAAGGGCTTTGTGGATACCTGCAAATTAAATCCAAAGAAATTCAGAGATATACACCATACATAACACTGCCAAAAAAAAAAAAAAAAAAGACTGGCAGTTCAGAAGTCCTCCTGATAGCATAACAAAAGGGTGAAACAAAAATAGAAATGACAAGAGAAAATTTGGTTGAAATGAATTGGCAAGATTTAATGTTTTGCTGAAAAATTCACTTAATTAAGCCATATAGTGCCAAATTAAACAATTGTTCACAATTTCTTATAAGATCCTCCGTTTCCAATTGGCTGGGTTTTTTTGTTTGTTTGTTTGTTTTAGTTTGATATGGTCTTAGTTTCACGGAGTGTCTGCGGCCAACATCTTCCTTTTCCGTTTGTAGCATTGCTCACTCAGGGCTTCCTTTAAAGGTCTGTTTCCCCTTTGGAAGTCCCTGACTCTTGCTGCCTCAAATCAAACCTTTAGAGACTGGCTAAGAAAAAAGTATAGACATGTGGCATTTTTTATTTTCTTCATCTGAAAAGGAGGACCTAGATTCCGTGAGGTGAAAATAAGGTACCGTTTTGCTGGGATATAAGCTTCACAAAAGCATGGATTATATTTATCTTTTTCTCTGCTGTATACTGTCATTACATCTACTACTTTTTGCCTTTAAGGCCTTGTATATATTAAATAAATGCAAGAGAGTACAATAAAAATTTTTGCTTATGAATTTCATCAACCATTAGAAACTGGGAGTCTATGGAGAATTTTTTTTTTTTGAATAAGTGGAAGAAGTTTCAACAATTGGCTGGATGACTTGAAAACTATGTAGCTCAGGGAAAGGTGTAGGTTATGACTGGCTTACCAAGGATCTACCATTCCTACGTTTATGTTGGAATAATGAACACTGATTATATGATCATGATTTACTCTATTTTTTGTACCTAAGTATATTAAGCTTAATTAGAAAACCACACAGGGTTTCAGGGCCGTGTTCCGAAACTCTAAGTTCATCTTGACCTCTATTAGTCATGGCTAAATTATTTTTGTTTTCCCTGCCCTACCTAATACCTTGCATACTCTAATCTTTCAATAACTACATGGTAAATAAGAAAACAAATTAAATGAATACAGTAATATGATTTTATACTTTTAAAGAAAGGATAAAATTAATATAAATTATCATCACTATACTGCCATAAAAACAGATTTAGGGCAGCTAAGTAATTTTCTTGGCCAACGTTAAGTGTCCTCATTGAGATCAAATGAATATTCAATTGAATTTGAAGATAATGATAATAATAATACTGCCCTACTTAATGATAGTGCATGTCCCGGTGCTATATGCTTTATATTACTACTCCTTTCATCCTTCTGTGTCTATGAGGTAGCTACCATTACTATCTTCATCTTATAGGTAAGAAAATTGAGGCTTGGAGAAGTCACACAAATTGTACAGGAAGAACCTAATTTCAAATATAGGCAGTCTGATTACAGAGCCTGTACCATTCTACCTACTATTCAGTACAATGAAAAACAAGACAGACCCAAATTCCTACTATTAAAGGAATACTTCGGATGAGTGGGAATTAAAAAGCAAGGTGATTTCTACTGTTGGACTATTTATCATGATTTTATGAATTTAAATCACATTGATTCTTCATTTCTGTCTTCTCAAACAAGTGATCCAGGCTTTTTCATGTGATAGTGATACATCAGTGAATGTTCGTTTTAAGATAATCTGAACTAATATCTGGTGTTAGAATAAGTAACTAATCTGATAGCTTAAGCCATCGATTGTTCAGAATATTTTATCCTTAACAAAACTCTATATAATGTTGGCTTCACGTAAAAAAACACTTTTAGACAGACACACGAATACACAAAACACACACTCCAATCGACTCTACGGAAATTATAAAACTGGAAAGTTTTAGCACTAAATCTTTCCAACTCTCTGCTTCAGAACTTTGAAAGGGTCCGGAATTTTTAGAAGTTCATATTCATTGTGTGTTTATAAGAATGAATAAATCTGTGTCTGCGTGTGTCAAGAGTTGGCTCTGTGGAGGCACTTACTGCATTGTTAATGTGCCTATTTACTAGTTTATATTTTTTACTTTTCTGCAACCTTCTCAAGGGGAGTGTATCTTTTTCACCTT